TTCAAAGTATTTGCCAAAGTGATTTACCTCCAAATGGGTTAGTTTAAAATGGTGACCACTATGGGATAAGTTCATTAGTTTAAAGCACATTTATAGTATGAATTGTTCCTATCCTCCCATAGGATCATAATTTCTATGATAAGGCTAGGCTGGATGATTGTGTTGGTGGATCGAGGATTTCAATTGGTAAGTTTGGTATTTATAATGATGTGTTATGGGTTTTGATGATTTAGGTTAGTGTTTATGGTGAAGATGTTTAGCGGAGGTGTGGTTTTGTAATTGAGAAGTGAATTATTAGTGATGTTAGGTTTAGCTTTATTTACATTAATCAGGTCTTACATGGTGTTCTTTAGGCTAATATAGCCATTGGTATTGTGATTGTATCTTTAGTGATATGTGCAATATTTTAAAAAGTTAATGTATGGAGGTAGAGGATTAGCTTGCAAAGGTTGAAGCTTGTTAGATTTTTGGAGTTTGTTAAAGGCTTTGGAGAAAGATATACTCAGGTTGGTGTATTGGTAGGTGTGATTATTTTTTGGGTAGGTTAGGTTGTAGATTTCAAAGATTACGTTCGAACCAATGGTGATTTTTCACCTATTCTTTTAAAGAAGGTCTCCTCATGTTCTTACATTTATTAGGGGTATTCATAATTCAGTTGTAACCGAATTAATTGACCAAACTAATTTAATTTGATTAATCGGTCAGCCATTAAATTCATTTTTGTAGGTTAACAAAAATGATTTTAGAAAAATTTTGGTTTTCAATTAATTCAATTTGAAACTAAATTAACCAAAATTTTAATCGAAATATAATATAATCCAAATATAAAATGAAAAGTACATGAAATGAATCATTTAATTTCATAACTTATTAGAGTTTTTAATGTAATATTCTGATATTTGAATATTTTATTAGATAATTTTTTTAGTTTGTTTAAAATATGAGAAATTAAGAGTTTAAAATAAATTTAACTTAAAAGTATTTATTATTCGGTTAACCAAAAAAATTAATTAAATTGACTAAATTAATTCGGTTAATTAATTTTCTAAATTCATAAATTTGATTCAGTTAACTAAAATAAAATAATATAATTTGATTAATTCAATTCTGGATAATTCGGTTCAAAATTAACTAAACTGACTAAATAAACATCCTTAACATTTATATTGGAGTCTAAATGTGTTCAAAAGTGGCTAAAATAAGTCATATAATTGGTCTTAGTAGATAGGCAAAAGATGTTTCATTACCATTTGAACTTGGTCTTTCTCTATATGTCTATTTTTCATCATGACAACTCTTCTTCTCTATCAAGCTAGGAACTCAGCGAATGTTTCATTATTCTTTTGTTTGGTGGTTTCAAATCTCTTATGGTTATATGTCATGTTGGGTGTTGTAGGCATACTAACAAGCAAAAGCTTGGGTTATCTTTTCCCAATCCTTTATTATGGTTTCAAGTTAGTTGTGAAACCAATTAGATGTGACTCTAGATATTCTTTTACTGAGTAGATCAATTCTTTCTTCATATCGACATTTTAAACCTTGTAGTAGGCTAAGGATTGATCCCTTTTATAAAGTGATTGATATCTTTGAATGTAACAACTCTAGATGAACATTCTATTTAAAGAAAGAATCGACCCCTTTTAATTAGGTAATTGATCCCTTATTCAAATCCTATAAATAAAGCCTTGTAATAGGCTAGGGATTGATCTTATTTAGAAGGGATTAGTCTCTTTGAGTATAATAGCTCTTAAAGAGCTTTATGTTTTTTTTTTTAAAGAAAAAATAAGCATACATTAATGAAATTTGATATCAATGCCAACAAATTCTAAGATGCTTATGAGGCATTCCCCTATCCATATCTCATCATCATTATTTTGCAATGCTAGTTTAGCTAACTTGTGAACAACTATATTTGCCCCCCTCGTGACATGTCTCACTTTAAAAAAACCAAACGATTTCCTTTTATGTCTGATATATGCTATGATGTTCCCCATTGCTAAGCAGTTTTTCTTTTTTGATTGGATACCATGTATTATGCTTCATTTGTTTCGTAAAAAATGACTTCAAAAAAATGATTTTTGCATTTTTAAATGTTTGTTTAGCATAAAACTAACTGGTCAACAGAAAATTACTTATAGGTTAATGGAAAATAAGATCATTTTTTTGGAAATTATCTTACAAATTTGAAAATAAAAAGATATTTTACAGAAAAAAGCTATTTATGAATAGAACAATTTATTAATGCTTTTGAGCGAAATTTTACTTATAAACAATATTATATTAATAAATAATATACTATTAATATAATATATTAATAAATAATATACAGAATAACAAATGGTTTTGTTTTAATTATTTTTTATACTAACATAATATTTTAATATTAAATATTATTATTAAAATATAATTATTTTTTAATATAAATAATTTTAATAATAAATAATTCCAATATACTTTAATAATAAATAATTTTTAATATTTTAATAGTTATATTAATATTATTTGAAAAAAAACAAAATTTTTGAAAAACAACCAAATAACGAAAAATATTTTTCATCAACTCATCCAAATAATTGAAAATCTCTTTCGATTCAGAAAATGCAAATATTTTTCAAAAATCATTTTTTGGAAGTCATTTTCTGTGAATCAAACTGAACCTGCATCACCTTCCAATATTAAGTTAACCAACCACATATAAGTTGCCATTTCCATCATTTTTTCTGTTATAAGAACTTCAACCATTCCTAGCTCCCGCACGTGATCCACTCTATATATAATAGCCCCCATCACATTTCTAGTGTTATCCCATGCTATTACCCCAATACCACCCATGCTTTTTACATTAGTGAAAGCTCCATCAAAGTTCATCTTAACAAACCCCATATGCAAAGGCTCCCATGTTGCTTCAGTCACTACTTGATGTTTTATGCTATACTCGTTTACTTACCTGAACTCTTACAAATAGTTTTTAGCAAAATGAACCAGCATCTCTAGTGATCGATTCTTATTTGACTTTATCGCCAAATTTTTACTATGCCACACTGCCCAATTTAGCATTAACCCTGTTACCAACTTGCAAAATCTACATCTTGCTATCTCATTCACCATCCTCTTTCTACATTGTAACTTACCTCTCTCCATTTTGTTAGGAGGTTGACTAAGCTTTAGACGACTTTTGTACTTGGGCACTCCCATATAGCAAGAACTATTGTTTCCTCTTGTTGACCACATCTTAGGCACATGCTTTATAATTTAATTCCTTGTTTCCACAAAGTGTTATAGGTTGGTAAAAAACCATTATTGAGTTTTCACCTAAAAATTTTGACTTCGCTAAGAATCCTTACATTCCATAACTTCTTCTAAGTCTACCATGTATCTTCTGCTTGCACATTGTCTTTATGCCCTTGATTTCTATCACTCATGCCTTGCTTAAAGCTTATCATATGATAGGCATTTCAAACTGAAAAAATTCCATCCTTTGTAAGACTTCAAGTTAAGACATTAACATGGTTATTCGCTCTTAAAGGAATGGAGCATATCAACTCAACTTTATCAATAGGAAACAACATACCCAATAAGTCTATCTTCCACCCATGTAGCTATGTATCGATAAGGTCCGCCATTTTTGCATGTTCACCCATGACTCTTTGAACATGTCTATTTTGTGTAATTAACATGTTGTTTGGAAGCCACTTGTCCTGCAAATGTTAATCTGGCTTCCATCCTTCAATGTTTTAAAAAGGATCAATCTTGTTTATAAGGGGAACAACCGTTCTTAAAAAATCTAACTTCAAAATTTAGGACCATTTCAATGGCTTAAATGCAAGGCTTTTTAAGACCATTATCATAATTACCAATGCATATTTGTTAACATGCAATAATAATATCAACCATATACTTTATAATTCCAAAATTATATTAATATGAAAATGACAAACAATGTTTTAAAAACTAGCAACATAATTAAACATACAACATAAGTGGGAATCACACCACTATAACAAAAAGTTACATGTCTCTATATTGTTCAACAAAAAACTATAAAAGGTGACAACCTAACACACATCTATGTGCTTTTTACTAAAACCTTATCTTTATATCTAATTTCATTCACCAAGCTGGATATTAATTACCTTGACTAGCCCTTCTAGCACTATACTTGGGATTTCCACTAAAAACATTGGTTTGTGGCCACAAAACTAACACTTAAAGATTCAACCAAAGAATTGCAAATTTTATAATCACCGATGCAACTCTTGATTTTATACCGATGCACCAATGGTGTAAAAATAATTTTGAGCGAGCCATGGCCTTTATCACTCCCTTTAATTGCGCCCTTGCTCACCAACAATAACAACAAGCAATCATGAAGATTTATAAAATATAGGCTGCAATCTTGAAGATCTATCAAAAACAACATGTAATCTTGAAGATCTATGAACTACAACAAGCATTCTTGAAAAGCCTCTAGCAAATTATGGTCTTGATGTAACACTTTTGGTTTGTTTCCTGCTTAAAAACCAAACATAGTATGAGTAATTAAACATAATTAAGAAAGTAAAACTTGGTAATTTCTTTTTAATTGTTTTTAGTAGCATATATAGGACAACTTTTATTATGTACAAACTTAAGGCAAAAAGTGCATTTGATAGTCCTTGCATTTTTTTCTCCAACTATTGCTTTTTTGTATTGTTTCCTTTTATTGGTTTTAAGTTTACTTGGCATTCGAGGAAGTAATGAAGGCTCAAGCAGATTAATTTGACCTCTAAACTTAATCATTATGATATCAAAATATAGGATAAATGAACTCATTATCGTTATATGTTAATATGAAAGTTTTTTGGAGTAATAATTATGATAAAACAGTTGAATATCTCTTGTGAGCTAGGTAAATTACTGCATAAAATATAAATTTTAATAAACAATTATAAAATTTACAAAATTTAATTTAAAAAGAAAATAAATTATTATTATTAAAATCTTTCTTCCAATGCCGGATGATATAAACAGAGATGCACAGCCACACAGGTTAGGACTCGTCCTTAGAAAATGTTGAGGTGGGGGAAATTTGACGCAAATGGTCCACGTTTGGCCCCACAGCAACCCAAAACCCGAATTCCATTCGCTCCATAGTGTCGAGTTTGGGAGCCGGTGGGTGCCTCCTTGTTTTTTTCTCTCTCCCCTTATTCTTTTCTGATTTGTCTCCTAAATTTTCCTCGTCCTCCGCCAAACCCTAACCCTCCAGTCGCTTCGAAAATTCCCATCTTATGTTTGAATCCTCAAAATAATTAAACCAGATCCCCCTAAATTTGAATGGTCGATTCAATTTCTTGTTTCTTCAGGAAACAGGAAAAATTTCTCCAATTGTTTATTTAAAAATCATCCATGGCTGGTGTCCAAGAAGAAAGTATACAATGATCGAATTATTAGGATTTCGTTTCAATTGCATGGGGTTTACGAAATGCCAGAGCTTCGAAAAGGAGTCTGTAGAGGCCGCGCCACGTTAGCGCAGCAGCAGCAGCAGCAACCACCACAAGAGCAAAAGCAAACGAGGCAGCGGAATCAAGGCCGGAAACGTGCGGCTGCGTCTGCTGCTGCTGAGGGGGGTAGGCCGAGGACGAGATTGGCCGCCAAAAGACTGAAGGAGAAGGATCATTGTCAGGTAGTAGTAGCTGCGACCGCAAGAGAAGATCATAATCATAATCATCAGGTGATTGTGATATCAGAGAGAGATAGCGATATCGAGAGGAAGGAGGTGGTAAAGGTTGATAAAGAAAAGAAGGGTGCTGTGATGGGGGATGAGAGCGGTGGCTTGAGTGCTAACAAGGCTGCTGGACAGGAAGAGGAGGGAAGTACTGCACCTTTTCCAGAGAGGGTATGCTTGTTGTTTTCCCTTCTTTTTTTTTTTTTTTTTTTAATGTTTTCTGAACTGCGTTTGTTTATTATTGAAAGTATTGTGGTTCTTTGGCACTTGCTTGTTGGTTTTTTTTTTATTACTATTGTTTCAAGCTTTTATATTTTCAATGATGGCACTCTTTTTTCCCTTTCAGTCTAATTAAACAGTTTTCCTTTTTTTGTGCATTTTCTGTCTGGTGAAAGTGCTGAGAGCCAATTACTTTCTGCTTCTTGTCTAGGTAACACTGTGTTTTTTCGGAAGGAAGGAAATGGAGGAAAGGAATAGGGAATGGAATTCGTTTTCACTTATTCATTTTGATACAATAGATGGAAAATAGAAGGATGGAAAAAAATTGAATAAAATTGTAAATCAAGTGATTAATTTTAGTTGAATGTATGTTATCCTCCCACTTGTTTGAATTTTGAGGGAATGGAATGGTGAAAATCCACCGATTTTCCTTCCTTCTCCTAATTTCCCACTGTCAAACAAGTGAAAGTTAGAGAGGAAAAATGGAAACCCTTTTCCTTCCACTCCTCTTCTTTCTTTCTTTTCTTTCTTCTGGTAATCTTTGTTTTCTAATGTTGTAATATCATTTTTTCCTGTTTAGTTTGGTTAATTGAATATATTTTCCTTTTAACTTTGCAAGGTTCAATTTGGGGGATCTCCTGTGTACAAGATAGAGAGAAAGCTTGGTAAAGGTGGATTTGGTCAGGTGTTTGTTGGACGACGTGTTAGTGGTGGAAATGAACGTGCAACTGGTTCTGCAGCCATGGAGGTAAATCATCTTCAGCTATCTTAAGCCAGTTTCATGCCACCTTAATTCTTGATATTAATATTAATTCTGTTACTATTTTGCATTCTTTTAGGTAGCTCTGAAATTTGAGCATAGAAACAGCAAAGGCTGTAATTATGGTCCTCCATATGAATGGCAAGTTTACAAGTAGGTGGCTCTATTTTCCTTCTAGTTTTTTTGGAAAATTTCTAAATTATGACTATATCTAACACAGTTTGTTGAGTTTTTTGTGAACAGTGCTCTTGGTGGTAGCCATGGAGTTCCCAAAGTACACTACAAAGGAAAGCAAGGAGACTATTATGTGATGGTATGATCTGCAGCTTATCTTCTATTTGTTTATCTATCCTAAATCCATGGCTTTACTTCTACTTGTGTATTTTCAGGTTATGGACATGTTAGGGCCAAGCTTATGGGATGTTTGGAACTCTTCAGGGCAAGTGTGAGTGACCTGTCTTCTCCACCTTGTTAACACTTGCCTCCCGTTCCTTCTTTATGGTTTACTTATTCAGAAATGAGAGACAATATAAGCTGACACACTTTATTAAGTCCAAAACCGCTTCATTCTTATATTATAGAATAACAATTGTTTTTAGTCTTGCCCATTGGACACTTCTTGAAGAAACAAAAATTCCCTTACATTTGCCATGTTATTTTTCCACTAGAAACATTTTGAGAGAATATGTTCATGCTTGGGCTTTCTAAGTTATTTAGTGATTGGAGAGCTTTGTTTTCTCTCTCCTCTAGGGTATCTTTTGGATTGTTTTAAGAAAAACAGACAAAAACCCAACTGTATAAAAACGACCGAAAACCCAATTCTAAAGCACCACATGCACTCATACACAACTCTAAAAAACCCTAAACCTTAGAATTAATATTTTTTACATTAGATGTTTAATTATCTGGCAGACCCTTAGTTCTTCACTGTTCATTCTATAAAAAAATAGTAAATGAATAAGGAACTGATTGAAGAAGGTACATGCACTCCTCTTATTGCTGTTCCTTTGGTAAGGGTAGACTTGAACGTCTAAGCTTTTGGTTTTCTTGGATTTTCTTTGGGTTTTGGGTGGGATTGAACATATGCTTGTTCCCCATGAACAAATGCTACAATTGTCTTAACCCTTCTGGGCAAACGAAAGTGTATGCAAGTTTTTCTTTTTCCAATTGTATCACTTTCAATGGAATATTTGGTGCCTACTTGGATATAAATTTTGTTCTCAATTTCACATGCAGGATGTCTGCAGAAATGGTAGCTTGTATAGCTGTTGAGTCCCTATCAATTCTGGAGAAGATGCATGCAAAAGGGTTTGTGATTTTAATTATCTTGAGATACTATGAATGCCAGCTTTCTTAAAAGCTCCATAAATTTATTAAATTAGTATCTTTCTTAAATGTTAAATCTATTTTGTTTTCAACTCATTGCTTTTGTTTTGTACTAACTTTTGCTTTGAATGTTGACCCTCTTTGATACCAGTTATGTGCATGGGGATGTTAAGCCTGAGAACTTTTTACTTGGTCAACCATCTACACCACAAGAGAAGAAGTTGTTTCTTGTTGACCTTGGATTAGGCAAGTAAATTTCATTTTATCCCTATGGTATCTCTGCTATGCTTTCATTTTTGATTCTTTTCTTATGTTTTATCTACACGGCATTGCAGCAACAAAGTGGAAAGATGGCAGCAGTGGGCTGCATGTTGATTATGATCAACGTCCTGATATGTTTAGGTTTGTCTGATGTTTGTCTAGTTGGAGATTTTTGTATGGTCAACTCTTTTGCTGATATTATTGTGTTCTGTAATTTTCATATTCAACAGAGGAACCGTTCGATATGCTAGCGTTCATGCGCATTTGGGAAGAACTGCCAGTAGAAGAGATGATCTTGAGTCTCTTGCATATACACTCATATTCCTACATCGAGGTCGATTACCATGGCAGGGCTATCAGGTACAGCTGATATAATTATCAAAGTGAGTTGCTTACCAGAGGCTTGTTTTAGCATTCATCTTCTACATTGTTTTCTTGTTCTTTCTTTTACTTTCCAAATCCAGGGTGACAATAAATCGTTCTTGGTCTGCAAAAAAAAAATGGCTACATCACCTGAAGTGCTTTGCTGCTTCTGCCCTCCACCTCTAAAACAATTTCTTGAGATTGTGGTAAATATGAAGTTTGATGATGAGCCCAACTACTCCAAACTAATATCTTTATTTGAGGGTTTGTTAGGACCAAATCCAGCTATAAGACCAATAAACACTGATGGTGCTCAAAAGGTATTTATGTGTACTACTATTTTTTGTCAAGCACGTTGCACGTGGTACTTGTTTTTTTTTTTTTTATTTTAAAACATTAATTATATTTAAAATATAAATATTTCTTAAGTTATAATGTTTTAAGTATAAAAATAAAAAAACTGTAATATAAATGTATAAATTATTCTATACCATTAGGATTAATAAAACTATTTTAATAAAAATCACTAAATGTAATTAGAATTCTTATTACAAATTGGATTAATATTTATGATAAAAATATTTTAATAAGTCATTTAATATGAATTTTTTTTTTACAAATTTTAGATAAGTTTTATTAATATTTATAACAAGAATATTTGAAATGACAATTTAGAAATATGAGTAAAAGTTTACGTTTTCGTCAATATATTATATTATAGATATTTAAATATATTAAGATTCTCAATGGAGGATTTTGTCATTTAATTTTTTTTTGGGGGGTGGTTAAATTATACTTTTTGTTTTCATTTGAGTCAATATTTTGACTTAATTGAAACTTAGAAAGTCAAATCGGTTTTCAATTAACATTATACTTTTTATTTTCAATTCTATTCTATTAAAAAGTATAAATTATAAAAATTATAATTTTTATTATTGTTTATAATAAAAATTATACTTTTTTGGGAGGGCCAAGGCTCCCCCATGGCTACCACTACCATCTGCTGTTAACAGATTAATAATAATCATGAAAATTTGGTAGATTATTTATCAAGTAGGCCAAAAACGAGGTAGGTTGAACACTGAAGAAGAAGATGGTCAACCCAAGAAGAAGGTTCGCCTTGGAGTTCCTGCTACACAGTGGATTTCTGTCTACAATGCAAGACTTCCAATGAAGCAGAGGTATTTTGGAGTAGTTTTCCGTCTTCATAGCTTATTTTCATTGCATGCTTTTCCATTTTAATTAAAGACGGTTAAAACATATATGCCATTTTGCCTTAAACTGCTTTTGTTCCTGAATTGTTGTTGCATATCTTTTATGTATTTAGTTGGTCAGTAGATAGAAAATGATGTTGGCCTTTAAAATAGCTTTGGAAGTTCATGCATCTGTCTTCGGAGGGTTGTGACAATCAGAATTAAATGATTTTTTAAGATTATAACTGTATACTTACTGAAGCCTATTGATGGATAAAGTTTTTATTTTGCAAATCAAAGAGACTTTTTTTGTACTTATCTGAGGCTTACAATGTTCGTAATTAGGGGATTTTACTGATTCTCAAATTAAAGCTTTGTGAAAAGGACAAAAGAAAGCGGGTAAAAAGCTTTAAAAAAATGAAAACTGATGTTTACTGTAATCTTTTATAAGATGCTGGGTCATTTATCCTGAAAATGACTTTACTCATACCATTATGATTTTGATTCTAGATTTTTCTTGTCTTCTAAAATGCACCTCAATATGGCCCCTTGTTATTTTAGACATGGTTGTTACTTTGGTTGCATGCTTTTTTGCTTCCAAAAGCAAAAGTCCAAAAGCAAAAGGCTAAAGTTGTTGGATGCAAAAGCAAATTATTTTTGGAATGATTAAAATTTAATTTTTTATGCTTTGCAAAATGCATGATTTACTTTCAAAAGGAAGGTGTGTTACATTTTATGGATTAGCTTATTTCTCATTTTAGCAACTTTTGAAGAAGCAAAAAGCAAAAGGAAAGTAGCGAAGGCAACATCCAATAGAATCTTAAGTAAATATATTTGAATTAGTTTGGACTCCCATTATGCTATTGATTTATCCTGTGATACCAACCTTTTAACATGTGGTAAAAAGCTACGTGCTGCACATTTTTTGGCGGTCCTCTAGATGAAACACCTCTTAGGTCCATTTCTTGTAGCTGTTTCCTTCGCTTTGGTTGGAGTATGATCAGCATGTAGACCATAATGAGGGGAAAAAATTGTTCATATATACTAGCTTTCTTTGCTTGATGTTTCAATTTAACTATTTGGTTATCATGCAATTAGGTACCATTACAATGTGGCTGATGCAAGGTTGGCTCAACATGTGGAGAAAGGAATGGCAGATGGTCTACTGATAAGCTGTGTGGCATCTTGTACCAATCTTTGGGCATTAATTATGGATGCTGGAACTGGCTTCACAAGCCAAGTTTATGAGCTTTCACCTTCCTTCTTACACAAGGTGACCTCCTATTGCATATTGTTATTTTTGCTAGTTTCTCTCCCTATTGTAACTAAAGTATTTATGTTAAAGGACTTATCTTCCAAATATGCAGGAGTGGATCATGGATCAGTGGGAGAAGAACTATTACATTAGTTCTATTGCTGGTTCTAACAGTGGAAGCTCCCTTGTTGTTATGTCCAAAGGTTAGTTTCATATGCTGCTTTATCTAAATTGTGTGATGAAATTTTTTGGTTTTAATGGAATAAACAAATAAACACTAAAACCAAAAGCTCTTTAGATGGGTAGGGGTGGGGAGAAGAGTATTTGAGGATTTAGTTGATGATGAATTCTTTTCTTTGACAGATACTCCCTATTTATTATGACCTTTTTTTCAGCAATTTAATCAACCTATGCACAAAATACTTAAGCATATCTAGATTCCAAATCCTGATAAACTGTGCTGCCAAATTAAGATATCTTCCTCCATACCCTTTGAAAGATTCTTGCATGGAATACCAAGACTTTTTTGGTTGCATGGATTAGTTGATGTCAAATATATATGAGGTTCTGTTCAAGTTATGGATGGCTGTGACTTTTGCTGTTCATTGAACATGTCATAAGGACCAATTCTCTGAATTCTAGTTTGGTTTCTTATGTTCTCTACTTTCTCTCGTAGGAATTAAATCCTATAGGTTTAGGACTTACCCAGAAACTGAGGAAATCAACTAGATGAGAACCGAATTTTTCTGTATGGTTCCCATTCTCATGGTGCTGGTGCAATTGGGTAATTGAAGCAACTCTTGATAGAATAGAAAGATGCATCCTGATACAAAACCTGTTCATTATCTACAACTTAGCTCCAAATCTTTTTACAGACAACCTGAATGGCACTACTCTTGAGTATGCATAAGCAGACATGTTAGTTTTTATCAAAATTTGTACGTCTAGAGGATTAATAAGATCTGAGCAAACATCTGGTTTTTTTCATTTACTATTTTGGCTCAAGATTTCTGAATCATGATAATCTTTTTAGGCACCCAATACACTCAACAATCTTATAAAGTGAGTGACTCCTTCCCCTTTAAGTGGATAAACAAAAAGTGGAGAGAGGGTTTTTATGTCACCTCAATGGCAACTGCTGGGAGCCGATGGGGTGTTGTTATGTCTCGCAATGCAGGCTTCAGTGATCAGGTTAGATTTCAGTTGCAATACAATTATTTCTGCTGTCTTTTAGAAGAGTGGATTCTCTATGGCAATGGCAACTTGATGACTATTGGTCAATGGTTTCTTTCTTTGTTTGGATTCATGTTGAACTGGAAGTCAATAATAGTGTCTTCAATTTTGTTTCATTAGCAATCATTGTCTTTATTTTCTGATCTGATTGTAATGTTTATCAATTTATCTTTTATTGAAATTATTTTAGTTCGTTTATAACATTTTTAATATGGAAAGGAATTTGTTATGTAAAATTGAAAATGTTATTTGTATGATATTAGGAAATCATAATAGAACATAGTGACAATTAAAAAAAAAAATTTAGGTGCAAAATAAAAAGTAAAAAATTTTAAAAAAATGTCATATTTACGACCCATTTTGTATTATAAATTTGCTAGTATCCAACAAAAGATTATTTTTTTAGAACAATTAACTCAATTGGCAACACACCTAATCAATAGTGCCATGACTATTATGAGTGATAATAGATAATGTTAAAACATTTCTTTTGCAGCTTCACACGTGAAACTCTGAGGCAGGTCTCAAAAAAATATAATTAAAAAAAGTTTATTATTTTATAGATGATTTTCTATGTAATAAATTGGGATTGGTAAGTAAAAAATAAAAGCAATGATTAGAGGTGACTACATCTCTACTAGAAAGTTATTCAAGTAGAACCTAAGTTATCATAAAAATTTATTGGAAATAAAATATTAATGTGATAAATGCATTTTAGTCTTAATGGGTTCACATCACTTAAGCCTGGAATGTTTTTTTTTTTTTTTTTGAATTCTCTCCATCCCATCTTATTTACTATTGTTGACTTATGCTGTAGGTTGTGGAACTTGATTTTCTCTATCCAAGTGAGGGTATCCACAGACGTTGGGATAGTGGTTATAGAATCACATCAACAGCTGCAACTCCTGATCAAGCTGCTCTAATCTTGAGCATCCCTAAGCGCAAACCTGGTGATGAAACTCAAGAAACTCTACGCACATCTCAATTTCCCAGCACACATGTTAAGGTAATGGTTCTGTTGCCTCTGTAATACTTATGTACATAAGACTTGTTATGCTCTACAAGTTTATGAAGTTAATATATTTTTTTGGCCAATGAGTAGGTAATATTTATAAATGACAAAGATCAGATTCGGTATCCATCTCTTCCAATCATATCCCCATAAACTGAAAACTTATGTTTGTAGTACCATATAAGTTAGTTTTGGGGTGTCTTGCAAGATTATTCATGTTTTTTATTTTCTTTTTCTCCTTTTTGCATTCAGTTAATTGTACTTTTGGTATCTAAACTTTGGAAAAATATACAAATTGGTATCTAAAAAACTTAAACATACAATTTGCACCATAAGCTTTTAAATAATGTACAATTTGCTTCCTAGACTTTCAAATTATGTATCATATTAACTCAAATTCTGATCTCGCTAACCATATCAGCTTATATATGTTATATTTTAACAACTATTACTATGTATTCACCACACATATCATCATCATTTTTTTTTGTTCAATATAAATACTTTTTACTTGAACCTTAAAAAACGTCTAGAACCAGTTAATCATTTTTTGTCGCATGATATCCACATGAATATTTCTCTTTTATTTAATAAATAATATGCATGTAACAAAATTATACTGGTTAAATATCATATAAATAAGTTAACAGGATCAAAATATAAATTAAAATGATACATTATTTTAAAGTTCATGATGCAAATTGTATACTTTCTTTTCAATTTGTATATTTTTTCAAAGTTTAAATACCAAAAGTGTAATTAACTCTTTTGCATTTAATCTTGTTATACTTATTTTTCCTAGTGGGAAATATTTCTAGTAGTTGATGAGTTGCAATCTATATGAACATATTAATTCTTATTATGTTTAAATCTATATGATAATTTATAAATGTATATGTGTGTGTGTATATATAGATATATATATATATATATATATTTCATGTGTGTTGTTTTTTATGTGTAGGAAAAATGGGCAAAAAATCTCTATCTTGCCTGTCTGTGCTATGGAAGGACTGTATCCTGAAATCATTAGTCAGTGGTGGCATTTTTTGTGAGGAAAAAATCCCCAACCTTATTATCTCAATCTGTTTTGTGTGGATGTACCATGTTAAATGTAAAGAGTGGATAGGAATTTCACCCTCAGCGTGGCAGGTGCAATGGAATTTGTCTTGCTTTATAATGTTGTATCATACATGTATCTTAACGAATATTTGTTGGCTTTCAGTTAGAATGTTTGCTCACAAGGTTGAGGTCAGTTGCCCAACTTGTCATCATTCTCAATTTTGATTTATCTCATACTGGCCAACCTGCAACAACGCCTAATCGCAATGGTTTCAGCTGCTGCCATCCAAAGTTTTTAGTGCCAATTGCCTAAATACATATTCCCTACGGTTGCCTCCAAAAATTCCCAAATCCTCGCAGGATTAAGTTTTGTAATTTTCACCTTCCTCGCTGTGAGTTGTGATTAATCTTAAATGCTTTTTCTTTAAAAAAAATATATTATGAGGCTTAATGGCCAATGTTCAAAGTAGACTATTTAATTTTGTAGAGTGGTATAGAACATGTCATTAGCTCTAGAATTACACTACATAATTTAAAGCAAGTCATCTTCAAAAGTTTCAATATGGGACCAAAATCTGTCTGCTTGTTCCCACCAATCATCCTTGGAAGTATTAAGGATGATTGTTCATAAATCATCCCTAGTAGTGGAAGATTGAAAAACGAAAATCTTTTCAAATTATCAAATGAAATTACAAGTTTTAAACTACAAAATAAAATAAAAAAATCTTTTGTTAATTAATAAAAATAAATGAAATCAAGTGAAAATTTTCAACAAAAAAAAAAAAGTGAATATGCATTTTCTCCAAAAAAAGATCATTATAATTTTATAACTTAAAAAAATTATAAAAACGTAAAGAAAAAAAAAAACTAGTATTAAATATTTTTTACATGTTTAAAAAAAACTGTAATTTATAATTTCATTTAAAAATCCCAATGAACTTGAGATAGTCAAATGTGCCAAACAGCTTACTTTACTTTTTGCCAACAAAAAAAAAAAAAGAATTGTTCCACAAATTAGGTAAAAGACTGACTATATCTTGTAATTTTTTCTCTTTTAAGTGACGCCTCTAATAATTTCTAATGAATTGGATTGAAAGCCTTCACTTGTAAATTGTTAATTCCACCAATGAATCTACGAAAATTTTTGGAACCAACAATTGTTGGTTTAAAATTAAAAAAGAAAGAAAGAAAGAGAGTTTTAAGAAAATTGAACTTCAATTCATCACAATGCCAAAATCCATGGAAATCAAAACAAACAAAATAGAGAAACTAATAAAAAAAAAAACAAAACAAAACAAAAACAAAAACAAAAAGAGAGCGCTGAAATTGAACCATGGGGAATGAAATTTTGAAGGCTTCAGTTGAGTGTAGTAGGAAAAGGAGGCAATCGCAGCACTGCTTCCTCTGTTTCATTGGGGTCCGATCTCAGTATCTGCCAACGATAAAACCAAATATTTTCAGAAACCCACAAAAAAGGAAGTGTTGAAATTTGATTATAACAAAACAATTATTTTGATGCAAAGAAAGAGAGAAGAGGAATGGTCACCGGGTCTTGAAGGGCGGGCTTGGTGTCGTCTTTTGTAGGTCTGAAAGGGGGCTTTTCAGTCTTCAGCTGGGTTTGGCTTCGGATGTTGTCGCTGGGTTTCATTGGAATCTCTGCAGCTTTCATTTTTTTCCCCTTTCAGAGGTAATATTAACTTACGGAGTTATATTTGTCTTTTTATGCTCTTATAGTCGTCACACTACATAGTGATGAATTCTGGCTACTTAAAGCGGTACCGTTAATTTCTTTTCAATTTGAAAAATGCTGATCCTTGAACCAAATACTTCCGAATTTTTTTTTTTTTACAATCTCAAATTATTTAATTATAATAAAAAAATTAATTAAATGCTTAATTTAAAATATAATACTTCTTTCATGCTAAAATATTTGTTATATGTTGATTTTCATGGAGTTCAAAAACAATTTTAAATTTTAATATATTTAATACAAAATTTTAATTTTTTTTATAAAATTAAAATTTCATGTTTTTAATGTTAAAAAAATATAAAAATATATATAAAATAAGAATTTTAGATGTTTAAAAAATATATATAATTTTCGAATATAAAAAAAATGAACAAAAAAAAAAAAGGAAAAGAGAGTATTTGAGTTTTTTTTTAATTAAAGATACATTTTTAATTTAATTCAATATAAAATTAAATATTTTTTTATTGTTAAAAAAAAAGACTTCATAATGAGTGTATAATGCACATGTTATTAAGTCTAATTTTTATTAAATTAAGCCATTAAATTCTTTTCTTAATAAAAAAATTAATTCCTTCAAAATTTAACGAGAAAAAAAAGAAAAAAATTGTAAAGGAGTGGAATAGCCCTTAAATTCAAATGATCACAAAAAAAATAATAATACCAATTGAAAAGGAAAATCTAAAAAACAAAAAGGCACAGGGAAAAACGAAATTGAGAAAAGGTGAGGGAGATGGGCTAGAGAATTTTTTTGGCAATTTGATTCGAACCCCAATAATAAAACCCTGAAATAAATGAAAAAAAAAAATGAAATTTACTTCATCTTCCACTCCCTCCATTCACCATCTCCTTGTGCTGAATCAATGCTTTGCAACTTCAATAGTTGCGCTTAAACTTCTTGATAAAACCATCAGCTTTGGCATTCACCTCTATAGCTTTAGCTTCACTTCCCTCACACTAGCTGTCTAATCAGGAGTACTACCTGTTTTTGCCTTTTTTCTTGTTTTGGTTAGGCTTTCCGTTCGAAATTATGATAGGCAAGCAAAACAAGGTATGCGTGTCCAAAAAATGAGTAAAACAGCTAGAAAATCACTCCCCAGCCACTCTCGAAGATCGCCCAAAAAAAGCTCTTGAAGCAACAGAAATCACTAACGAAAGCGCTCATTTTCTTTGATTTCTTCTTAATCTTGCTTTCATATTCACAAATCCATTATCCAATTTAATTTCTTTACCCAATTTTCTTTCCAACTATTTTTTCTTTGATCAATCGTTATTATTATTATTTTTTTTTTTTGTGGAAACCCTGAGGGATATTTTTTTAATAAGTTAATTTTTATTCATCCAAAAAAATAACAGAGTTTGCTACAAGAAATTTAAAAATCATAATGAATAAAAAAAAATACAAACAAATCAACCTGTAGAATTGGTAGATGTTTTAATAGAATTGGTAGATGTATGGTGAGTACCATGTAGCCTGTATCGTGCTGCGTCCTTCGCAAACTGTAAAATGGAGCCATTGCGGCGATTATGTTGACAAAAAACTCTTTTGTTTCTTTCCTTCCACACACCATAAATAAACGCATTCCAACTTATTTTCGAGGAAAATCGGCAGGAGGGATTTACTTTTGAAATTAGTTTTGGTCCACTTGAACCTTAAGCGACATTTGATTCATGAGATTTAGGATTCTTTCAAGGAATCTTACTCTTAGAAATGTTATTTTTATATTTGGTTTATGGAATCTAGGATTCCTCCATTGCATCCGGAATCTAACATTTCCAACTATGTAAAAAAAAAAAAAAAAAGAAGGAAATCGTCAATAATCAGAAACCCTCCTTTCTTTATGGTTTTCTTAGAGTTCTATTAGAATACAAAATTTGTCTTCCTTTTGCTCTTAATAATTAGTATTTAGGGTCTATTATACTGTTTAATATCCTAGAAAGTGCATCTTAAACCAAAGCTCCATCTGACACGCACAAGGCATTCAAAGTCTCAATGTTTAACACCTAGTATCATGCATAAGTGTAGACACCGGTTTTGTCCGGGTTTACTGTTTTCATTTTAGTTTAATAATAATAATAATAATACTAAAATATTTAAAATATATATAATAATAAAAAAAATTAATTAAAAAAAAGAAGGAAAATGAGACAGAAACTAGGGGCTAGTAAGGCATCGTTGTTACCTCTGTCTAGCCTCCGACCAGCTCCCTGTTTAGCCCACTTATAGCTACCCTACAGCCACTCAGATCCCTCTAATTGAAGCTCTTTAAAATCCCAGCCCCTTTCCCCTTCAACCTCTCTCACGGACGCTCTCTGAAAAAAAAAAAAAATAAGAGAAGACCCATTCAATCTACTCCCATGAAAACCTTCGAGCTCAAACGAACTCCCCCCTTCAAAACACTCTCAACAACCCCCAAACATCACATCAAACCCATACCCAAACAGAAACATAAAAACAAAAACAAAAAACAAAGACAAATAATCCTCCCCGATGGGAGGAACCCAGCGCCAAAGCTACCTGCAAAAGCAAAAACATCACGTCAGTCTTGTTTCAACAAAACAAAAAAAAGGAATAAAAAAAAAGGGGAAACAGAACTTTGAACCTCGATCTACTCTGATCGGGGTTGTTTTCGACAAAAAGAAGGTCAGATCTTGGAAGAGCATTTTCTGAAAGTATTTTTGATATTTTTCGATCACCGACGACCACCGATAGCGACAGCCAACTGTGACCCAGACGGCTGCCGGTGCGAGATCCGACGATCGAACGGCGAGAGAGCTCTGGAGCTATCCCCAAAGCTCTCTCCCTTTTTTCTGAAAATAGAAACAGAATGACAAAAAAATTTTTTTCGGTTATATATAAAAGACTAAGGAGCAAAACGACGTTGTTTCGATCAAGGAGGATCCGCGCATTGACCCGGATCCGACCCGAGATCCGCGCAACCCAACCTATGGACCCGCTCTTCCAACAGCTGCTGACCGATCCAATTGAACCAATTTGAACCGGACCGAACTGTAGATCGCTCAACCGAATCGCTCGTCGAACTGACCCCTTTTCGGTCCAACCGAACCGTCGTTGACCAGACCGCTGACCGGTCCAGTTCAGGTAAAAAATATTTTTTTTAATTTTCTAATTTTTTTATATATATTATTATTTTTGTTATTTTAAGTATTTTTATATATTTATGCATGATAAGTTCTTAAATTTGTTAGAATAAATATTTAATTATTTTAATAATAATAAAATTGAAAACAAGTAATAATTAAAAATATATATTAAAAATGCTCAAAAATAATAATAATTATTATTATTATTTTTCTGCCTAGATGTTGGAGGGAATAAAAAATATTTTTCTAAGAAATAATTTCGCTTAGATGTTGGAGAATTATTATTAATAAATTTTCATAAAAAATATAAGAAAATTTTAATTAATTTTCAAAAATCATTAAAATCGAACTTGCTTCGAAAATCTGCTAGATGTTGAAGATTTTTAGAGATGTTCGTATTTTCTTAAAAACGAAACCTTAAACACTAATTCTTAAATTTCAAAATCCTAGGTTTCTGAAAACCCCTAAAATCTAAAATCTCCTTAAAATCCAAAATCCTAAAATCTGAAACCCCTAAGATCTAAAATCTCCTAAATTCAAACCCCTAAAATTCAAAACCCCTACAATCCAAACCCCAAAATCAAAATCCCTAAAATCTGAAACTCCTGAAATCCAAACCTCAAAATCTAAAATCCCTAAAACCCAAACCCCAAAATCAAAATCCCTAAAATCTGAAACC